CAGTGGTTGGATTTGAAAACAGTCAGTCAATGACTCAACAGACAGCTTTGCAAATTAAAATGAGCGTTAGCAATGGCCAGTAAAATATGTAATGACATTTAAGGTGATAGAACACTGATATGCATATTTTTATTCATTCCATTAACCACCGAAGCCATACAGTTGCCTTGCCTTCAAAAACCAAGCAGATGAAAGCTACTCGAATCTCTACCTTAGTTTGCTGCCAAGAAAAGCAGCATTTTTTGGACTCGGCCAACATGATTGCTATGGCAACTAAATACATTTTTTTTTTTACACATGGTCATGTGATTAATTAAATAATTATATAATCATGACATTTAGCATTTGTTTCAGAGGAATCCATGCCCCCTCCCCCACCTCATATAGCAGATAACCAAGGATTAATGCTCCGTTCGTGTCTTGAATTACTGTAATTATGAGATTCTACTCAGAGCTGAACTCAGAAATGATTTGTTGCTATGGGAACACTCATAACGCCAAAATTAATCCATGCGTAGCTTTGTTGTTGATGGCAGCAAAATATTTAATCACTAGATTAATTTGTTAGTTTACGACAAAATGATTGGACAGGATGTCTCAGAAACAAGCAATAGTGTATTTAACGAAATAGTTCAATTTAGCATCAAATATTACGTAAAACAAATATATATATGTTAAGTTTACTTCCCTTTTGGTGCTATTTTACATGACAAAAAAGGGAATACATATATAACATAATTGATTTAATTATACATATAATTTGGTCGTCTGCACCAAACGCGATGCAAAACAACAGAATTTTTTTAATTTCAAAACCAATCTCTTCATTTCAGCAACTGCACTCCCAACTAAATGGTAACGGTCATGATCTAATTAATACAATTTTAACCTATTTAATATCATTAAAAGTACTCTGGCTGAGTACTAATGTTGTTGGTTTGCACTGACTTTCATTTTTAAAGCATTTTTAAACTGAATTTGAAACTGAATAAAGCACATAATCAGTACCTGAGGTGATAATTGTCTTTGTTGTTTATGTTGTTTTGGTACAACATCGCAGAAATAGAAACTGTTTCTAAAATAGGAATTTTAGGCGTTACCGTAACAGGTGGTTAGAATGAAAACTAGTTTCAATGTGAAAAAGATTGTCGTGTGTCGCAGGCAGCGCTGCGAGTAGTTAGGACATGGTGTCCATTTATATTACAAGGCTGTGTATAGTTATGTGAAAATAATCCAAATTTGCACAGATAATAAAATTTCTATATTATGCATGCCAGGCCAGTGCATGGCGATGTATCTTTGTGATTAAAAACTACATCTCTAAACAGATGTGGTCCCTTGTTTGCAAGGGACTATATGGACAGCTAATGTTTTTCAGCCAATGATGAACTTCTGGTGAAAGCTTTATTTATTTTCAATTTCATAAAGTTCCTTTTACAGCATCAACATTATAATGTAATTCAAATATAATCAGCTAAATAGACCTAAGTCTCCATTTAGTTGTTAAAGCGTAAAAAGAGACAAAAGACCGTTGATACCGTCATTAGTGGCAGGCTAGCGCAGAAACGCCACTGAAAATACTGGGGTACAATATAATTTAAAGCTGAACTTCTTGTTTCGTCCGATACTTACTTTATATCGTATCTCAGCCAGCCAGTGAAGCCGTTTTGTTTTATTTATTTATTTTTTTAAAGAAATCAGATCTTAAATGTGCCGATTCTGAATGGCATGACAATTAACTTGAAGCTCTCAGGCTGGCTGACTAAACTTCAAAGTCAATATACCCATATACCTCATAGTTAGCAAGTACTCAAGCATGCCTGTGGACTGAATGTTGAACTGATGTTCACACATCTTTTTTTGTAAAAATAGAAATGTGTTGTGTTTATGTAGTTTACACAAAAACTATAATAGTATCGTTAAAAAAATCCCATTTTCAGACGATTGTGTTTTCAAGCATTTACATAAATAGATAAAATCCATGAAAAGTTTTCGGTTTCTAGTAAAAAATCGTTTTGCATAAACATTGCACTGTATTCAAAGTTGCACGAGAGCGCCCCCTCGAATTAAATTCCTTGGCAGGGAATGTTAAATAGTTTTCACATAATTTTTTTGTTGACTTGACCCATACTAGGGCTGTGCGATTTGGGCAAAATATCTAATTGCGTTTTTGTTTTGTTTTTGTTTTTTTTGACAGATATTGCGATTTCAATTTGATTTGCGATTTAATTTTTTAGTTAAGCTTTGGCTCATTCACACTTCTTATATATCCACCTGTGGTACTTTTTTAGATGCTGATTGATATATTGCCTCGTGCTGGTAACAATTCTGCGACAGCTCTTAAAAATGACCTGGTTTTGTTTGATGTCTGTAACTTTGAAACCGAAATATTCCTATACTACCCATGTTCTGTTTTTCAGTGATATTAATTTGTCTATTAATGCCCACTCGTCTGCGCTTTCCTGTTTCTTTGTTTTTTTATTGTGGGCATTTCGCATTAGTTCTATTGCACTATTTTGGGGTGCAAACAACGACTTAACTCGCGACTGGACTATCATAGTATAATACATCAGTAGGGTACAGAATGATGTTGTGACGAGTGTTTCCCAAAACTCTGTCGCAGATCCATCATTTGAACCAAGTTAATTATATCGTAAAACGCCCACAATGATGCTCTAAACCGGTTGGTAACAACTTCTTGAGAAAAGAATCCCATAATTTCTTTGTGCAAACTATATTTTAAATGCACACACATTAAAAAAAAAATAATCCAAAATTATTTTTATAAAAACATGCACTCGCTTTTCATATTTCTTTTAAAAATATGTAAATGGCACATATAGGACCGATGTTTCCTTTACTATTGAGAACATTACATATTCTATTCTAAAACAAAAATGTATAAATCATATACATAAATAATGAGGTTATTTATTAAGAAATTTAATTTAATATTTATTATTTATTAGTAAATGAAAAAAAATACTTTAATAATAATATTAATGCAAATTATGATTATTATTATAAATAATTATATGTATTATTATACAATTTGACACATGCAAACCACAACAGATTTGTTATAACCAACAGGCCCATGTCATATACAGTTCAGATACTTAACAAATAACCTACTATGAATTAAAAGCATTGACGTAAGCTATGCCTTTTGTTTTCACAACAACGCAACAAATACTTTGAAAGCAAATTACACCTAAGAGAGACGACTTTAATGCTTTTTTTTAGCATTTCAAGTTTGAAAGTTAAAATTTTCGGTCCCACTTTATAATGTGTCGCTTATACCTGTGAACTTATATTTGTAAGTTGTATGTAACTACAGTGTGTGTACACACTGGTACATAGTATTTATTTGTGTAATACTGGTGTAACTACACACATGTAACAACCCACTGAATAGCATGTGTAAGTTCAAATGTGTAACAGGACATTAATAACACAATCTTTGGTAAACTAACTCTTTAATGTGAATTAATGTGATTTTACAATTTACCTTAAAACAACATATAAACACAAGGCTTTTGTATATTCCTATATACACTTATACTTTTTGGCTGTAGCTGCTATTGTTAAACAGTTGCACAAATGTGTTGGTTTTAAATATTACATAGTAATTTGTGACCATTTTACACTATATTGAGAAGACAGTTCCTGAGGATTTACGCTGTAATTACACTAGTAACACAGGGTGAAACCTTCTAATGTAGTGTTAGTTCTGCCATTCTTATTCTGAAACAGTAATCAGAAGTACATGGCATGCAAACAGCTGTGGAAGTGGGAAAATACCTGCAAGTGTATTGTTGTTACACAATGCACTTATAATCATCTTGTTACAGGTGTGTAGTTTTTAGTGTTGTTACCAAAGTCTTGTTACACTTTTGAACTGACACATACTAATCAGTGTGTTGTTTTATGTATGTAGTTACACCAGTGTTACACAGTGTGTACATACACTGTAGTTACATACTACTGACATATTTACTTACCATGTAAGGTCACAGGTATAAGCAACACTTAATATACCCGAATGGGTGGTAAATTAATAGAGATTAGAAGGGATAACTGGGAATAAAACACAGCCAGCAACTATGTTTCTAACTCCATCTCCAGTGGTGTAGTTGCAGGCATACAAGTTTGCAATGCGGTTTGCAAATGTTCATTGGAAAATTGGATTTGGGAAATGTCAAATCAACAAACTATGTTTGTAATGACCGAATGTGCGACCTTAGTTGGCAAACTATGGTTTTTGGAAACGCTCTCCTAAATGGGTAGAACGAAAGTGTGCTTACTCAGTTGGCTATTAACACTGTCACACACACAGACAGCAGTCATGCATTTATAAGTTTCAAATTACGATTCGATTAATTGCACAGCCCTAACCCATACAATAGTAAAAATTACTTTAATATTAACATTTAAAAAGACAAAAAGACTTGCATATTTTCACATTAATAAAGAATTTATTAGACAAAATATAATCCACAGTATTGAAACACAAGTCACATGTAAATGAACATTTTTAAATGTGACTACACAAAATAAAAACACATTATCATAATTAATGATCATAATTAGGTCAAAATTTAATCAATTACATTTATCACTGTTGTGCCTATTCACTGAATAACAATCAACATTTATAACCTTATAAAAGATCTCAAATGATAAATCTGGCCATATCATAATGTCTAATATAATCTCTTTTAATTGCATTTTTACAACATAAACAATCTCCATTCGCGTGTCAAAACGAGTCCCGCGCATCATAATAAAGATTGTAAGTCGCTAAAATGATATACCTCTTCCGCAGTTCACAGTAAAATCCAGATTGAAATGGAACGAAGAGGCATGTTATTGCGATATTCCTCCTTCAGTTTCAACAAAGCTGCATAGACAACCGCCCAGGCCTCCCCCATTTTCGCCTGGAAAGTCACCTCTCCAGTGTTTGAGTGTCTGAAGCCGTTGGCTGCTCCTGAACCGTTTGGCTCTTTCTCCACTAGCAAACAGCCCCACAATGTACCTCAATCGCTCTTAAATCTATTTTTAAACGATTTTATTCCGCTCTACGCCGATGCGAACGGGACCGGACTGTTGTTTGGGAATTTATCTGAAGACTTGCCGCCTCAAAGCAGCTTTATAACGCTTTGTTTGAGCACTATTTGACAAAATAGTCGAGGAGGAGGAAATTCCACACAAGCAGTGAAAGGCAGTCCTCGCGTTCATCCGGGTATTAAAGTGAGTGTTTTCTTCATTTTTACTCGTTATATCGATAATACGGTAGTATATGCGTGTTTGTGTTGCGTCGGGTGTTTTTAATAACAATATACAGCGATTTATTATTTGGCAAGGGCATTTCTTTTGGAGGATCTGGCTGGGTGGGGGATGGGAAGCAATGTGTGTGTGTGTGTGTGTAAGAGCGTGAGCGCGTGTGTGTGCGCGCGCGCGTAAATGCAGCACCACTTCAGATTGTTTTGTAGTTTAGGTGTGAGCAAAATAAAATTTCATAATGCATTAAAATACACAAGCAATCAAATTAAGCATTAATAGAACAATTTTACATCTGCTTTGTATGTTTATTATTGCTGTATGCATATGTAATATAACATTAAAGTTGATTTCTAACAAGTTTTCATGTGCTTCATACACTTAAATCAAGTTAATGTTTTCATATAAACACACTTCTATTATTATCTACGTGATGCACTTCAAAACACTGACTTAGTCTTGTTTCTATTATATGAATACATAATTATGTTACGTGAACTGTATATGAATTATAATCAATGTTTATAATCAGACTGTACATGTAGATGAGCACGAGCACATGACTGTTGTTGGCAAAGCACTAACTCTGTGAGAGTGGGGGAGGGGAAGCTCAACTCATTCAGTGTTTGGGCAAACACAAGTGTGTGTCAAATGACATGATCGTGAATTTGTAATCATTTACATGTAAAGTGATATTTCTTAGCATGCACACTGATTATATACACTCTCATTGTCAAACTATGCAATGCATATGACTGCGAGTAACACCAAAATAAGGCTCCAGACTTAATGCATACTGTATAACACAATGTAACAATGATTTATACAAGTCAAACAGTCAATAAATACAAAACAATAGTCTTTATAAAAAGGAATATGTGTGTGGATGTGATATCTAGATCATGGTGTTCAGTCTAGAGTGGGGGTGGGGAGCTCTGTAATGTGTGTGTGTGTGTAATCTGAAGGCCATGTGTGTTGGGAAACTCCCATTGTAATGGCTCACATGTAACCTATATAGATCACCAACCCTTTAACTCATTTACTAGTTAGTGTTAGGTTAACTTAGCTCATTTTCTTGAACAACCCCCCGTCTGAAATTAGGCCAATAATAAAACGCTATTAAAACACTATTAAACATGTCTTCGTTTCTCTCAGTGAAAGATTTGAGTCTCTCAGTCTTTGTTTGAAATCTGCGTCTCTCTAAATGGAAGAGTGGCACGGTTATGTAACTTGTGCCTCAGAGTGGATTGAAGCAAGATGTGGGGGATGGGACAGACAGATCTGATCTATTGCGCTTTTTTCCCTCTTTTTTTTCCCTCTCCCCCACTCGTTCCCTCGTGAAGCAGAATTGCAGTGGGCCAGTCGACGTGTTGAAACGTGACATTTGTGTCTGTGCTGTGTTGCGGTGCCGTTGACCCTGTTTCTCTTGAGCCTCAAGGTTGAGTTGAGATGGGCAGATGGTGGTGTGAGCTTGAAAATGCCTGCCATGGTCTGTGCTTTCTTGAACAAGGCCTGGGTTTATTTTCTGCAAGGTCATTGAGGAACGCTGTAACTGTTGTCTAGTTATGCAATCCAGTATAATCAGTAGTAGTACTGTAAATGATCGTAAACACAGGTAATATGGAAAGTGGATTTGTAAATTAGCTGAGGGTGCGTCCGCTTTGCATTCATTCTTTGTAAATAAAGCATTTCGTTTGAACTCTAGCTGTTTCAGTAGTGGAGGGATTGCATCAAACTTTGAATGCAACTAGTAAACAAAACAATTATCTTTTTAGTTGCTACTACAAATTGTTGGCGTGTTGGCTAGTTAACATGGAATTAAAGGGTTCACGGAGTTCGAGTTGAGTTAAAATGACTGTCGGGTCTGTTTCTTGAACGGTTTGTGAATTATATGGTTGGTGGTCTGCTATCAGATCCATCAATCACATGCTGTGTTTGAAGTAGCTCTGTTCTGCAGACTGAATGAGTATTTCCACTTTAGTTTTCAATGCGGAACTGTCTTGTGAATATATGTGCGACTTTTGAGTCATTAGTAGGCCCACCCGGAGTCTGCGCGCGCAGATTCAGCAGATTTTCCGCAGATTTTTAGCCCATCATTAATTCGGTTCATTTACATGAGTAAATGTGTGTGAATCTATATTTATTTAGTTTTTTTTTACTTAATTTCAATAATATTATTAACTAATGTGAAAATGTTCATCTGATTTATGTACAATGCAGTTTGTAAAGTAATATTTTCTGTCTTTTACTAGATATATTATATGACAAACTTGCTTTATTTACCAAATAAAGTGAATCTAATTGGATTTGCATTTTAAACATTAAATAAAAGTTAAAAAGATATTGTTTTTATTTCATATATTAAGGTTTTAGTTCTGATACTCCCAAAATAATTCTGCAGAAATCCGCAAACTTTTACAAAAATTCTCTGCAGAAATAGCATAAAATGTCCGCAGATTCCATCTGGCCCTAGTCATTAGCCACTATACTTAATACAATAGCTAGGACATTATTTGGGAAATGGCTTGTGCTACAAACTAATGTGCTTATTATTACAATAACAAATACTTGGTGAATTTGGAGTGCGAAAAATAAAATCATTCTTGGAATATAATGATAATTGATAATTATTTTACTAAGCAGTTTGAGCCTGTCATGGATAGGTAAATGTGATTCAGTGTTTCCTCTAAGATTTTTTTCCAGCTGTGGCGGCAGGCCTTTTACACAGATCTTCCAACTATAGCCTTATTTCAAGGACAAATGTTATAAGCGCAGTATTACAAGTCGAGACTGCATTCATGAAATACGAGCATGCAAATCTTTTTGCTTGCGCACTGATTTTCTCTGATTTAGTGCGTTTATGTAACAAGTATGTCTCCAACATTTATTCGATTTGCTAATATTTATGAATGTCCCCAATAGGCCTGCAGAGCGGGATTGAAGCCTCCTGAAGTAAAATGAAACAGCTTTAAACTCCAGTAAAATAAAGTAATTGTATGCAGAACCATAGACCTTTATAAAGTATAATTATGTAAATGGTGTTCAACATAACTGAAAGCTTATGGTAAAGGTTTTGAATGAGAAGCTGTAATGTAGACGTGGCAAAAATTAATTTTGCTGTGGTGCTCTGTCATGGAAGAATGAATGTAGCAGAAACCATGGGCCCTATCATACACCCCGTGCAATGCGGCGCAAGACGTGAAGCAATTGTTGTTTGCTACTTTCAGCTTGGCACAAGAGTTGTTTTGACATTTTGCACAACGCTGTTTAAATAGTAAAAGCATTTGCGCTCATATATGCGCCCATAGGTGTTCTAGTCTAAAATAAGGAGGTGTGTTGAGGCGCATTGCTGGTGCGATGCTATTTTGAGAAACTGTATAAATGATTCTTTCTTTCCTAAAATCCACGCAGAGCGCGTTAGTTGTGCACCTCGCTTACACATTGCTTAATACAGACAGGATATAGAGCAATACGCAAATATCTTTACATATGAAAAAGAGTTAAAATATTAAAGATATATTTATAGGATATAATAAGGATATATATAGGATATAAATATAAAGGATTAAAATATTACGAAAGATATTTTCAAGCCTACATAAATATAAAAACCATACTTTCATGCCTTCTTCATCTCGGGGGGCTTTTTCAGTGTGTTCATAACAATTTTCTTTTTTTGTTTTGTTATTCTCAAAACACACCTATAACTCATTAAGAAAATAAGCTCAACCCTGTTAGACCATGGCGCAAAGTGGATTTTACCGTCCTTAAAATAGCAAAAGTGGATTCCGACACGCCCTTATTGCTTTTTGCGCCCTGTGCTTTGCACTTTGTGCCTGGATCGTCAAAATAGAGCCCCATGTGATTATAATGCTGCCAGTGATGGCAAGTCAGTGTTGTAAATTCAACTGAATAGTTCAAAACAGCTGATTTGTTTTAAAAGCACTGGGAATGCTAGTTAAAAAAAATGATTCTTTTTTTGAACAAAAGCACTGTAGCCTTAGGGTGCTTTCACTCCTGTGAATCGATTAATTTGTTCCGAAACAGGGATTAAAATAGTTACAATGTTGCTCTTTTTTTCTTGGTGCGGTTCGCTTTCATACGACAAAGTTTCTAAACGGACCAAAATAGGTAAGACAAGTGCCGTGCGAGTAAACTCTCTTCACATTGGTCAGAGTTTGCGGGTTTATTTTGCAGAATCTCGCTTAGCTACCATGCTTCCCTATTTTAATTTATGACAATATAATAATAAGACATTATAAGTGAAAATCTGCACTTTAATTTTGAATGGTGACACCCACAGACGTCATCACTAAATATAGAGCAGAGGTAACACTTTCTTATACGTAGCAGTTTACTTATGCATTATAGGCTTTACATTATAGAGGGAAATAACTGATAAACTACAGCAGTTTGGTCAATTTTCCTATTGGATAAACCCATAAACTGCTTACGTTAATAGTTCAGCATGCTTTCACTTTCTTATTTTACATGAAACGTACATTACTTGACTACATGACTACTCATCATTTTCTCTTCATATAGCTGTACATATATATGCCTGTTACATATGCATGACACACTGTAATATTGCCGGGCTCGGATTGTATCTCATTCAGGCGATCTCGGAGCGATTGTTTTGACGCGGATCCGAGTGCAATTGCTGGATTCACATATGGCAAATGAACCGCGCTAACTGGGCAAACGAGACAGGTTCCGAAAGGAAAGTCTAGGTGTGAAAGCACCCTTAATCTCAGATTTAACTAGTTTAATCCTAATAATCCTAAAACAATTTAATAAAATAAAAATATATTGTTTAAAATGAAACTCACTCAGTATTCACAATTAGTGTTCTTGAACTGTTAAACTCATCATCACTAATTTGATATTGGGAAAACAACACTCTTGCTTTCTGTAAAAAGGCAAGACCAATACAAGAATATTATTGCTTACGTAATACTTAAAATATA